GACTGGAGAAGACCTTTGGAATTCATGTCACCTCCAAACAGCTGCGAAACTTCTAGTGTGGAGTCACCCATGGGTAGCTACCTGGAGACCAGTACTCTCAATCTGGAAGACCTCCAACATCGAGCAGCTCCGACAACGTCGCTACGGTCTAGGACATCATCTTCACCGCAGTCGTCAAGGCGCGGGTTGATGGTATGGACCGGACGTACCTGGAATGGAAAGACCAATATTTTCTTCGTGGACCCCGGACTGAAGGTGAGCGCTGGCGGTTACATCGAGCAACTCGAGAAGAATATCCTCCACATGTCGTCGCCCGTACCTTCTTGGAAACTGTACTGCTACAGCATTGGGTGCCACCACGTGGAATCGAAGGGCGTTGGAGAAACTCTCGCCTACTTGGAATGGAAGGGGGCTGAGTACCTAAAGAAGATGGAATATCCAAGTAGGTCACCTGACCTGAATCCCCTCAATTACCCGGTTCGGGCGGAGTTCAATAGGGTGGTCTACGGTGGCGGAGAATCGACTATCTCGCTGATCTCAGGCACCACATCGCGGTTGCGTGCCAGAATCTCTCGATGGCGCTCCTCCAGAAGGCTGTGGCGGAGTGTCATAATAGTATTTAATATGCTCTTTAATATGGTGGTAAAAATGTCCGATCAGAATTTATAAAGTGTAACTTATAGCGCCTCGAAAGTCAATGAAGAAAAGTGACTTTTTTTGGCCCCCCTGTATATTCTCTCGAAACAGAAGCAGCCAGCGCCGATCGATTCCCGTCTGCTTCTGCGTCCGCGTCTGTGAAATCAAAGCGCTTGCAACTGTGGCGTGCCGATGCTCATCGCGAACGGTGTCGACACTTAAAAGCTCCCAAAAGCTTGATGCACTGTAACTTAAAAGTCCCAAGAGTACTTGGTAGATTTTTGGAGCCTGTTCATGTTGCAAACTTTTAGATCCTTATGAAGCTTTGTAGCAGCACAGTACTGCGAATTCCAAAAGCTGTTCATTGCAGTAGTCAAAAAGTTCTATAATTTTCAGTTCATCCGGCCCCTCCACCTGATCCAAGCGTTCGCCGATCTACGCGCAACAGGATGAAGCCTGTTCGTCAGTGGCTTGGCGAACAACCAGTATATGCAGTTTCCCCAGGAGGTTGGTCAAATAGCCGCTCATACTAGTGCTACCTTTTCTGTCTCCTTCACACCCCTTCCTTTCCTTCTCGAACGCAAGGATAATAACCCCATGTGTTTATAGGCAGCAGAACACTGCAAGGAGTTACCGAAGTTGAGGTACGGGAACAGCGTTGGCTGAGAGTTCGGACCGTGAGCTATAACCTGGCTATGCAAAGGGAACAGCAAATAGCCGGTGAGTGCAATGATTATAGTTGGTTCAATCCATTTTTTACTCTGAGCTAGTAGGGGGTCCATATACGTTGGATGGCACGGTCATCGCATCGAGTACTGTCGTTTTACTAGTTTTGTATCAACACCCCAGGTGATTTAGTGTAAAAGTTGTGACAGCTTTATCTAACGTTTTTGAGTCCCATCTATGGTATGGATAATGTCTCGTTCGCGGTCGATTCTGCTGCTCAGATGTGAGGAATTATCTTTGTATAGCTTCATATGTTGTTGTTACTATCTCTTGCTAGCTATTATACTTTTTCAGTGCTTACACAAAGCGGCGCTCTTCTAGTGAACAGCGTATGACAGTGTTTATGCGCGTGAACGGCAAGCCTAATAGACTCTTGCTAGATGTTTTACGTGTCGCGGCATAGTAAGAGGTACTGGATCTTTGAGATAATACCGTTGATATTCTGATTTGTTAGCAAGTATGTGATGAAGAAGTATCTGCTGATTTAGATGTTATAAATTATATCCTCTTTTCATTCTACTATATTTAATTATTTTTTCGTCGCGATGCATTGGCGTACGATATCGCTCTTATGCTTTTTACCATTGTACAATAGCTATTCAGTCTAATATTATTCTGTAAAATTACTTGGATGCTAATCTTGTATCTTTTCTACTCGTTTTATTATAACATTGGTGTCATTTATAGCCCGTGTGCATATCTGATCTTTAGTATGCTGCTTCGTTATGCGGGTTCTCAAAAATAGCCATTTATGCGGTTTATGTGCGCCAGAATAAAGAAAAACAAGTGTGCGTGGATGGGTTGCGAAAAAGAGGTTACTAACAGGATATTTAGGCTGTCCGGAAGTTCTCAGCGTTTTTGAGTGTTTCCTAGCTTCAAATGATCATAATTTTCTTGAATACACATCGGTAATTTCAAATTCCATTAGGCAGCCTCATTCGAATCCAGCACACCTGGTTTTGCCACTGTGACATTAATTCGATGATCCTTCATCTACATGAAAAAACTGGTGGTAGAGAATCCACGAAGTCCATGTAGGCCTTTTGCCTGGTCCTGATTGATGAAGTATTTTCCAGCAAGGAAGTTCTGAAAATGTCTGAAAAGGTGATAGTCGGTTGGTGAAAGGTCTGGAGAATATGGCGGGTGAGGTAGAACTTCAACCCCCAATTCGTTCAATTTATGGATAGTGATTTGTGAAACGTGTGGGCGGGCGTTGTCATGCAAAAGAATCGGACCCTTTCTTTTGATAAGTGTTGGCTGCAGCTGACAATATTTTCGGTACATTTTCACGATTGCTTTCTTTCACAGTAGGACTCCGCTTGTGATGTGGTTTGACCTGGTTGACTATAAAATCTTTATTATGTGGATCACACCTCAGCGCGATGACGTCACCAGACTGTGACCCTATATCTTTTTCGTGGAGGGCTTCCGGGCTTTGAAAATTGCCTCGTGGTTCGTCGGGATATTCTAACCATTGTCCGGAACGTCCCCTCTGTTATCAATAACAAGATCACTTTTCATTCACAGGTGAATAATTGGTCCAAAAACGGGTTCGTTTCTGATGCGGGGCAAATGCAGTTGAAAGGACACTCGAGACGTGCCATATTTCCTGGACCGGTCACTGCAAATTGTTGGGTGCACCTATTTATCGAGTTTTTTCACTCTTCGGCCAATGCGTTCAGACATCTGCAGCACTTTCATTTGCCAACGCCTAGCTTTTGCTGCAATCCTCGAAGCTGTCTTGGGAATGGTCTAGCCTATATATCAAATCGGCTTCAATCCTCAAGAGGTTTATTTGCTTTATGGTCGGCCCGCTATCGAGGTTCATCTTCAAGCTGAAATGTCCTAAGTAACGAGATTTGTCGAACCATTGCCGCACGGTGCTTTCTCTAGCACTATTGGGCCCCCACACCTGGTTAATTTGTTGAGCTGTCTCGATTGCGGATTGACCTCTATTTAGTAGTCGTAAGATAAAAACTAGTCGTCCAGCACGTTGCTCTTTTGACATCTTCATAAAAGTTTGGGGAATAAGGGGGTATTCAGGAATATGAATTTACGTGCAACTATACATAGTATATGTGGCAAAGAATTCCTGGATGTAGCTAATGAGACGCAAGGTGGAGAATGAGTTTTTGATAAGCAATTGAATGTAACATAAATAATTTGGGTAACAACAAAAATCCCTGAGACTTTCCGCGGTAAAATCTATTATATCAAATACTTCCGATTCACACAAATCGGTTCCTCTGTAAGACAAAAGCCTCAGTCTTTTGCATGCTTGCTGGCAGACGGGCAAGACAGTGGCGCGCGGCGCATCGTTTGGCAGTCGCGGCACGGTTCTTACCAGGGAGTCCGCCAACTTACCATGGAACTTTGAATGGAGGGTAGATCGATCAGTTCTATAACGGATTTTTTACAATATATAGTGAAGCAAAGCTGCAACTGCATTTCACAAGCAACTTATGAGCAGGTAAAGTTTGTAATGGTGCAGTAGGGTGGAGGCTTGGTGGTGAGCTGTGAAGCATAAGCGAGGAATCGCATACGTCGAATCGAGTCGTCGAACGTCGAACCTTACCACTGAACCACTACGACTCGATCCGACATATGCGATTCCTCGCTTATGCTTCACAGCTCACCACCAACCCTCCATCCTACTGCATTCATTTACATAATTATTTACTCTGCTCATTATGCTTTGTGAAATGTCAGTACAGTTTTGGCTATCTTATAATTTGGAAACAACCTTATAACGTCTATCGACTCTCCACAGGTCTCCCCATTCTAAGTTCCATGGTACTTTGGCAGACTTCCCTGGTCAGCCTACGTCAGTTTTCGTGGAGCAACCAAACTTATGGGAGTTTAAGCAAAAGCATGGGATGATATCGGTTGTTTCCGTCCCTTTGACATTCGCACTCAAACGGCTGGTCAGGGAAACTCGTCCCTAGTGTGCGCCGCGTGGCTCATCGCGCCCACCGAGGCAATCACGTTCTTCTTGTCACAAATATCCCGACACCGTGAACGAAAGCATCAAATCGTCCGTAACGAACAGTAGGGTCATTAGGTCATACATCTTTATAGGATGCACTGAACAGTGCAGCTTACTGAAACAATTGTCCCTCTTCTCCATATAACCCTGCAGGTCCAGCCTTAGTGAAGCGCAGACGACAAGAACTGTGCGCGGCAGGTTCCCCGAGATAGATCGTTAGGCTGCTTTCATCTATTGCGTTAGCGCTTCGAGCGGCTAGGAAACTATAGACATAGATTCATCATTTTGAGCGTTTCGCGGAGAGTTTTCAACTTATCGCGCGCATCGCTGAAAACGCTGACGTACGCTCAGAACGAAAGATCAATATCTATGCTTTCCTAGTCGATTGAAACGCTGAAGCGAAGTATGAACGTACTCCTATCCCGGTGTTGTGTTAGCGCGAGCAGGGTATTTCCTAAGTAGTTGACGCAGCTGAGCACAGCAGCGATGAATCGAGCTACAGTTTTTAACCACTAGGTAATATTTATTTATATCTTGAAGAATTCCATACAATAATAGGGTGAAACAGGTAGACAGACTGCGAAATTGGAATCATTACAAAAACGAGGTTACGTAGATGAGTTCATTACTAAACATGCCCTCCCAACAGCAGCTAGAACCCATATTTCTGCCGACCCAGTCGCCTCATTTGCTTGCTTTCGGCCCACTGTTGTTGGAGTGCTTCCTCGCGCGCAACAGCCTGAAAACAGAAATAGAAGTAGATGCGCAGTTATTATCTTTCTTTTCTGCGATCCAGTATTAACGTCTGAACTTTATTTGAAGAACTAACCAAATTCGCAAGATACGTGATCTGGTGCTTCCGTTTGGATGTCGCGTCGGCTGGATTCTTTGACTTCGGCAAAGGAGCCATCGCATCTTTAGCGCGTGCAGCTACGTGCAAATTTTTCAGTAGTGTTGCACGAACATCTGGCCCAAGCGCCTGAAAGATTATTTTCCAGAAGAACTACTAGTTGCGTAAATTGAGGGCCAATCTGTCTCGAAAAGCTTAGTTCCACTGAAGCCGCATCGGCAAATCCGCGGGAATAATTAGGTTATTAGAATCTCCCTCCGCGTGGGAAGGTGGCGGAATCTCGGAATCGAGAGAATCGGCGAACGAGTCGGAAAAAGCATGGAAATGATCAGTTTATTGTTCTCCGAGGAGAGAATTGGCAAAATCGATTTGCATAGTCTTTGCGGATTCTCCCAACTGCGCGATTCTCCAACTCGGCA